CTCTCTTCAATTCTTAAGTTCCATCTCCCAAATAAACACAACAAATCTACACCTTGAATCTACACCTTGCAGAGAACAGTGGAGGAAGCCACTGCTCCCACTTGGCGCGAGAAGGCACACACCTACAGCAGCTGCGCATCACCCCAACCTCCTCATGCCCAGACTCCATCAGCACTAGCAGAGATCCAAAGTCACAGCTTCAGCACAGTACCTCATTTCACTGCTGATTTCTTAAATAGGTATCCTTACTTCACAACATTTCTATTGCATCACACATGAGGACCAGAAAACATTTTCACCAAGAGGAAGATAAATAACAATGAGGTTTGTATATTTGGCATTTGTTTCCAATTTAATGAGCTTTCAATCTGGTGGTATGGTCTATATTGTTGTTGTCTGAAATTAAGATAACGGTGGAGACATTAAGTCATGCCCTTCATGCCTCTATCAAGCATCCTACTTTAAAAAAAAACCTTTCAAAAAATATCATTAATTTATCATCCAATCCTAGTTCTGAACAACTGTAACAAAATAACTTGTACTCCTCTTGCAAAACAGCTTCTCACATTAGGAGAATGTGGCTTTAGGCTTTCTTCAGACATGAAGCCTAATTTTGCTATACTTCAATTTTATTGTATTATTTCCAGTTATGGGAAACCACTCAATTACTCCTTTGCCTCTTGACACTTGCATGTTATAGACGCTTGTAGAGAAATGTTACTTTCCCATAATCAGCATTTGCCATCATCATATGAGACCACTCAGCACCTGCAGAGTTTTCTTGCTATTATTTGGAGCCTGCTCATGATACTACACCAAACACTGCACCAATTCAATCTTGCTGCCATAAATTAACAAAGTGGATTGAGATATTTTGCTTCTACTTTATCTCCGTTAGCACCATCTTTCCTTTCTTTCCAGAATGCTACAAGCCTCACATTCAATCTTTTCAACTCACCTTAAGTCTTTGCTTTAACCATCTTTGTTTCACTTAGTTTTGCTTTGAAGTCAGACACACAGTGAGTAGAGGTACTGTGTTGCAGTACTACAAGTTATTCTTTTAACTAGTTCTCATCAAATACACAAAATAAAGGTTTTGTAAGTAACGAGCTTACAGCATAAACAAACAGCGAGAAGAATTACTTTTTTCTTTTTCCAGCACACAAAAAACTTGGAAAGTGCGCTTTTAAATAAACCTCCTCTTTGAATGAACTACAGTAACATTTCTAAGAGGATATCATCCTATCTCCTCCAGCACAGTCCTTCCTACAAAATCCAGTAAGGCGGGTTCACTGCTGTGCAGACCCCCTGTAAAACACTGGCTCTCCTTGCAGGAGGAGTCCCACTGGGCATCAGCATGCTCCCAGAGGAAATTCAACACCACATCATACCACTGGCACCATCATTAGCTATATATTTAACAGCTTCAACCACAGGTGTCATATGCAATACACATTTTAAAATGCATTACTCCAACAATGGGATGTAGTTTCAATGAAAAAAATACAAGATGTTACTAGAAACTTATGTCAAAACTGATGATTTGTTTTGATATATGAATAAATCTTTTTAGATTTTTTTTTAAAAATCAGAATAATTTAAATACTGCAAATGAGCGTAAAACATACTGTACCATTAGCCATAAGGATAGAAGTGCAAGTAGATACATACAAAATTATAGCGAGGTATCTCCATGTTCCAATTAATGTACTTGTAAATATCAGATTATGTAATTATATATCCATCACATTAATCAGGTTTGTGGAATTCTGCATTATGTAAATAAAGTGCATGATACCTGCTGGTTTGCTGTATCCTATATAAATTCTAGAGATACAATTTTCTGCAATCCAGCTATTAAGTACTTATTTTCAAGAGTTAACCTGGGGCAATTACCTTTTTGTTTAGTTGTTTCCTTTGATACAGCATAAAATGACATAATGAGATTTAATGGGATCATTAATCACTTTGTCTTAATAAGCTACTCCATAATAAATGACTAAACTCTTAAATATTTCATCCTGCTCAATTTTTTTCAGAACTCCCCCAAAAGCTATTAATGCAAGCCTGCAGATTTACCTAAAACTGCTTGCAAAGTCAGGGCCCAGTATTTTATTTCATGTAACAAACAAAACAATCATTGTTTTGTTCATGCAAGGCAATAATCTATAAAGAAAAACAAAGCTCTTCTATCAATGGCAATAAAACTGATTTACACCTCTGAAGGTTACAGAATTAGGTGCTCTGCTGAGTATTTCTGATAATCTGATAGAGCAAAATAATACTGTATAATAAAAAGACTTCTTACTATTCAACAACATTTTAGCAAGCACTTGAAAGCGAGTTGTGAACACTTTTGAAAAATAAACACGAGTGTATTACCCCCAAACTTCCTACCAAACACCCAGAATAAAAAAATAAAAATTGAAAGCTTCAAGGACTTCTCTAATGAACAGCCTTACCAAAAGTTCAGAGAGTCTGAAATATGCTAAGATATGGACACTTCGCATATGTGTAAGATATTTCAGATTTAAAGACAAATCCAGATTTTTTTTTAAAAAGCCACAATTTTTTGTTAGTCTTAAAATGCCTCTAGAAACAGAAAACCCTGAAAACCCTGAATAAGCTTACACACCTCAGCTTCAGCATTTCCTTGCAAGACACACGTTAAGTGTGTTCACTCTTCTCACTAAAATGCTTTTATTAGAAGCCCAGGGAGCAAGCACGCAGAGTCCTATTTCTAGCTAACTTACAACTTTATTACGTAGACAACATTAACTGATACTTGTATAATTACAGTTACAACTCAGTTTCTATTGCGACCACCATTTCACCCTTTGGGCTAACATTTCAATATGTGGTCTCCATAAAACGTGATGTTTCTCTAAATCTGGCTAATCTTTCATCTTATTTTGGATTTGAAGAGGGTAAATACCAGTAAAAAAAAATATATAACAACACATACTTCCCTCACTGGCTAACCCATATTCTCCATTCATTTCCCACATAAAACTCATGTGATGAATTTAGCAAACTATTGTTTGAGGACTATACAGCTGACTGCTCTTTAGCAAGAATAACCCTAGGAGTAATGGCTATAGCAGCCTTTGAAATTTCCACTGTATGAAAGCACTCCCTGATAACACAGCACATAAAACCTCACCTCACCTGCAAGCAGACACAAGTAATCACTGAAAATGCACAGCTGGAAACACCTAAAGACAAGAGTTATAAACAGATCTCTTTCCCATCCTCCTTCCTGAAAGCAAATAATGAAAATTACCTAAAAAGCTCAAGGAACAAACTGTCTCCAGTACTTTTCTCAGCCTGAAACTGCCTCATACCTCGCTGTAACATGGAGTTGGCAAGACCCCCTTTTTTTTTTTTTAATAATACTCATTTTCTTTACCAACATACCACAGATGCAGAACTACACTCTATCCAACATTCATTATGGTTTTACCTCGAATTGAAAACTGTGAGTGTTTGGGCAAATGGATTGAGTGGCTTGTTGTCCTCCTCATTTTATTGTGTAGAAAAGAATCATCATTCTTAATATCAAGAAATAGGCCCCATTTTCCTGTTTCTCTTTCCATATGCATTCGCCTCTCAGTATGACACTCCTTTGCAGTATCTTCAAGTTTTAAAGCCTTCTTTTTTCCCCCCCGACTCTTTTGCTTTTCTTTTTTTTCTGGTAAGATGACTTTAGTGTTCAAAAGTAACGCTCAGGTGAGAAGCCAATAGTAAGGAACTGTGCAAAGGACAGGACATCATCTTACGGTTCTCCTACAGTGAGACTCTCAGATAATCATTTCTCCAACTCTTAAGATCAGTAGAGCGCTTTGGTCCACCAGCAAAAACCTGGCTCATCTCACATTTTCCCAGTAACTGTGTTAACTACTTTTCTAGAGATATGCTGGCCCTCAACAAGCTCAGTCTTACAAACTTTTCTCTGCAATCTCACCCATCAGCTTCTTTGTGACCCCATTCTGCCCATCCATGTGCCAACTACCTGAAAACAGACAACTCTTCTGGGCTCAGGCAAGGGAATAACAACAAGGAATGTGCCTGTCACATTTCTCTGTTCTCTGTTGATCAGTCCATCATCAGCCCATTCTGCAAGGAGCTTTGTCAAGAACTAGATCCTTTCTGCAGTGTATAAGGTGGTTTCAGAATACTGAAGAAAGGTAACCCTTCTCCAATAGTTTAGGTTATCTTAAGAGTCATTTCTGTATCTCTTGTAATAGGAATGAAAGACATATCAGCAAAGAAGAGACTGCTCCTTCTCATAATCAGCAGCCAGAGCGGGTGGGGAAGATCTTCAGACTGTTAGTCCCTTCCTCCCTTCCTTCCCCATGCCTCCCCCCTAAGCTTTCCTGGCTTTTGAAGCTTGCCTTTCAATTAGATCCCTTCATACCAGCCTTAATCTTCGGTCTTTCTTCTTGGAGAATAACTACTTAAGGACTGTCATATTGAATCAGATCAAATGATGACAGGGTTTGTGATCTTCCTCTACCAGTGACCTATAGCAGATGCTCCGGGTACTCCAGCATCTGTCCTCAGCTTTTGTACTTGGCTGTTTGAAGCTGCAGAAGACTCAATTTGACCCAGTTCTTGTTGCTTTCAATGCTGCTTACAGAGGTCTGATTAGTCTAGAAAATCACATACAACTCTGGTCAGTTTTTGTTGAGCTTCCAGAAAACAGGGAGCTCTGAGCAGACCGGCAGAACTGTCCCTGTACATCACCACACCAAGCTCACGACAGCTCACACTTTCCTGTAAAGCCTCTGGGCTGGAAAGCCAACAAGGATTGACTTTTTTTTTTAAATGTATTTTTTACAATTAGTCCCCACACTAACCCTGGATATTTAATTTTTTAGTGTGCAAATGTGCTCACTTCCCTGAGCTTATGATTTTTATATCTGACACACAATATCTTGTCTTGTCTACAGGGCTGTTTTTCCCTCCTATGGAATGTTCTCCATAGTGTCCGGTCAAGCCACTGGTCTCTCCTAAACTGAAACAAGTATGTTCTGAACCTGGATTTGTTCTTTGCTTCTGGGAAGTGGCTTTATCAAAGGGTTTTGGTTTGGGGTTGGGGTTTTTTTTTTTTCCTTCCCTGAGACAATGTATTGGCTCTGCTGCAGTGTTCCTGCTAGTGCACGGCCAGTTACTGCACTATAATCAAAGCACATGATTGACATGGGCTTTCAAGAAAGATGATATGGGATTTATTCTGAGATATGTGGGGACAGGAATACTTTCAACAACACAAGTCTCCTTTTATCATCTATTTTATTCTTATTTTACTCAAATAATTTTTTGCGTGCTTAGAAAGCTATGCCTTTAAAAATGTCTTTTGCAAACTTTGGAATGAAGAGCTGATAATCTTCCCTGTTATTGCAATAGTACATTGGTGTGATAAACCATGTATATCACTGAAAAACAAGTGGGTTTTTTTAATCCAATGAAGCAAAGTCCATGCTTACTCCAGAAGAACAAACATTTTTGCTTGGGAAGTTCACTTTGCTTTTAAGCTAGAAAATAATGATGTTGCAATTTAAATCCTCATAGTACCAACTGATGTTCACTTAGCTTTGCTAAAAGCACTGGGCTTGCTTGGCAGTGAAAATTTCTCATTTAAAATCTCTCTCAGTTGATACAGGTATGTGTTTGTACATAAAACCATGGAAAAGTATACCAGCTTTCATATATGATGGTTAAACCTTGCTAATACAGGGACTCTAAAGGTGAACTTCCGGAGTACAACCATGGAAACAACAAAAAAATGGGAATTCAGCTAGCTTTTCTGGCATTTAGGGATCTTTCCATGAAAGCACTACAAATCACGGACTTAAAATGCATAATAGGCTTATTGTTTCACAATGTTTCTTCCTCCCCATTTTGGTTGAAAAACCCAAGGCATAACCAAACATCAATGTAGAGCATGGCAAAGGAAGAAGTTAAACTTTCAGAACAGATGGAACTTTTTATGTAATTAGCACTTCAGCCAGGTGGATGGGCAGGAGCTAGAGCTAGTCAAGGGAAACTGAATCAATATATCCATTTGATGCTGTTCCCCACATGACTCCAGGGCATTATGAAATTTTACCAGCAGCCCAGAATTAAGTGAAATGAAACAAAGAGTTTTTATTTATTTGAAATGAAAGTTTTCTAAACGAAGGTTATAGTCTCTTCAATACTTAGCTCTGCTTGCCTAAGAATTACAAATACACTGTTGGAAACAAGCTAACACCCAAAATACGGATTTGCAGATAATGCAAAATATCTCATCTGTTGACTGATCACAGGCACTTTGCTAGCCAGCTCTCAAGTGTCCACGGGTGACTACTGGAGAGGATATTCTTAACATTCTCATCAGCACTTGAAACCTTGACTTATCTCCTAATCCTACCAGCAACACATTTCAGCAGCCACTTACGAATGCACAGCCACTACTGTGTGAGTCATTTCCCAAAACACGTAGCTATCTATTCTGGAGTCCGCTTTTTCCCTTCCCTGCACTTCTATTTCAGACAGCACCACTGCACTAATTTGTTATCTGTGATTGCTACAAAGCTCTTTTGGAGCAACCTGCTCCCATCAGTGGGCTCTGCCAGTGTGGACGTGGAGTCAGCAGCTTCCCTTAACTTCTCCCGTTGTAATGAAAGAGGACAACTACTGTTTGTTTAACAGCACGCCACGCTACGTGTACTTACTGCGAAGCGTCAAATGTTCAGCAGTCACTCTCCTTCGCAGGGGAGTGGCTCCTAAAGGGACTTCTACAGAACTGCAAGATGAGCAGTCTCTTTTTCTGAGCTTTACTGCTTTCATCGTTTTCACCTCCCTCCTTCCAGAGGAACGAACAATACAAATACTTGACTTGTAAGTCAGCTCCCAAAAGGCTGCTGCAGTGTGCTATTACATACTTCCTTTCCCACTACTCTAGCGCTGACCAGTCAATGCATCAGCTGTGCAAAAAATAGCTAGTTCTTTTTGACCGTCCTTGCCCAGAATGTACCAGCTACAGAAATGCCAGCTCTCCGTGTGTTAGGACATATCCCATGCTACAGCTGAAGTGCCGCTGTAGCACTGAGCCAACAGAGCTATCAGAGGACTGGGCACAGCGTAAACTGTGCTAACACCGTATTCTGCCTGCTATCATATATCACTCACAGCTCATTCATCCAGGCAGACACAGATGGTCTCGCACAGATACAGAGTGCTCCTGGGGCATCACCCAACTTGCTCAAAAAGTGCTGCTCTGTACCACACCTGCATATCCTTATAGAGAAAAAGGTGGGTTTTGGCCATTTGTTGGAGGAGCCAGAGGATCAGTTAGAGCAGATTTACATAAAAGTTGCCTGACAATATGATGCTTTTTGCGTGATCTCAATATTTTGATTATAAAAGCCTGTGCTCATTCCCCCAGAGATCAGTGTGTACCGTTCCCAGAAGGCACAGCCTCCGGTGTTACTCACGCTCCTTCCTCTCCTCCCAGAACAATCCTTGTGACGGGCAGGCTCATTTTTGGGGAGAGGAGGAGGCAGTCCAGTGAACATCTGCAGAGTCACAGTGCTGGGTAAAATTAAGGCTGTAGTAATACCTAACACCAGCTCCAGAGGCCCTTCTCTCCTCTCACTATCTGGTCCTAGCCCTCACACTCACTTTCAGTGGCACAACTACAAGTTTGTTGTGCTGTACTACAAAATATACCCCTGAAGCGGTGCAGGTAGAAATAAAAAGGTAGTGTGGGATGGCAGGAGAAGGCTGGGAGACACTTTTACTCTAAAGCCACAGCATCACAGAGCTGCACCAGAAAGAAACTTAATTTCTCATTCTTCACCTAACATGTTATCACATACACAATCAAGAATTGTGTACATTTCTGCTTCACTTTGAATGTTAAAAATATTAAGTAACATTTACTGCATTACATAACCATATTCATATTACAGACGCGCAGTGTAGTCACATAATGGTGTTAAACTTCTTAATCCAAGCAGAGGCCCTTGAAGCATGCAAAGGCAAACAATTTTTGCTAGTGAACTTTTGAACCTCAGTTGAAGACTATGTGTCTCCTAAGAAGAGAGAAAAATTTATGATAGTTAGCATCACTGGCAACCTGGGAAGTTTCTGTTCATTGGTGATCCCAAGGGGGAAAAAAAAAAAAAAAAAAAAAGAGAAACACCCCCTTTTTGGGCTTAATGAACCAAGTAATAAATTCACATTCTAAGGCTAAGCAGAAGCTACTTCTAAGCAGTTATTCAGGGAAGTCCCCAAGACAAAGAAATACAGATATTACTAATTAGAAAAAAGTACATTACTGTTGCCCTAAGCTGTAAAGGGAGCAATTAATATGTAAGAACAACCAGAGTGTAGCTGGAGACACCAGAGTAAAGAAAAAGAACAAACTAATGGAATGAAAATCCCAGAAATCACCAGCCTCCCAGTAAGCCTCCTAAACTATCACACATGCAAAGCTGCATTGTTTATCTTTATGCAGAAAGGACTTTCCCCAGTGATATTTCGGAAATAAGTTCTAGCATAACCATCAATTTCTTCTCCTGCTTCGCAGCCACACAAATAAGCTTTTTTTTAATAGAACAAATGCAGTTCTCTGTACTATTCCAGTACTCCACATCCACTCCTACAATTGCAATCACGTAAGTACTGCGATGTTCGTGTGGCATACTAAATACTGTGAAATTAAGAGCTGGATTCTGTTTCCTAGTCAATAGCATAAGAAATAGGGTCACTGCACTGCAACTGAACAAGGAAGTCTAGAAATGGCGGTGTTTTGACAACTTCTGGCTTACAGTATTTAAAGAAAACCAACCAGCCTATAACCCATGCCAAGCCCTTACACATATACTACGTGCGCAGTTACGCACGTACTAAATTCTATGCCAATGACTCGCCATAATCAGCTGAGTGGGATATTTCGTTGTGTTAACTAAACTACAAAAGTAAGCTTTGGCAGGGAACAGACCATCCTTCTCTCTGGGATTTAAGCTGAGGACATAAGGTTGTGCAGTTAACAACTTAAACCCAGCAAGATTAGGCCTTTGTGATTATAATCTGATCTTTCCAAACAGAATTTTTCATATGCTGTGTATGAAATAGGAAAGATTATGCTTTAAAAAAAACATACCTTAAAGAGCGTCACAGTAATTTCAACATTTTCAGGAACTGGCCATACCACCACCCCACGGTATGGGTTCTTGATTCCAGGCTGCCAGCTATGAGCCTAAAGGAAGAAAAGAAACAGTTGTCTTAAAGCCATTATAAAAGTGCTGACTCAACTCCCACAGGACCCAGCATGTGTAGGTAGAAGTAACATGTCACTAACTCCACAAAGGCTGCTTTCTTAAACCTATAACTCTACTGAACACTATAAAGGACATCATTAAGAATGAGAGTAAGGAAACTCAGACCACTAGCAGGCATTTTTTTCCACTGAACTAAAGCTGTTCCTCACAAGGTCCTAAACTCTGGTCTTTTACGTACACAGCACAGTTGAGGACACTCAGAGCCTTACAAAAATCAAGGCCATAAGGCCAGAGCTTCTGTAGCAAGCTGAGCTTTATTTTGTTTTCATCCAGATGAAGGAATGCTTTTATTTAAAGAACACTTGATGAATACAGCACATAGTGCAGGCTTAATCATGTTTAGACCTAAATAGAGCAAAAAGACATTTTTATTTAAGAAAAAAACCACACAAAACAATGATTTATAATACAGATATTAAATGCTACTAAAACATTTAAATTTTTAAGAATATGCTGGGGTACATACACAAGATGATAAAAACAGACTAAAATAGACTGAGAACTTACCTACCTTCGAGTATCAATTTGGACTGATGTATGGTCTGTATTTACATTTTAATAGCTAGTCCTGAAAAAACATCACATGTGAGCAATTCTGTTTTGGAGTAAGTACGCTTTTTTCCAAGCTCAACTTAATCCATTTTGTGATGCTGTAAGACAAATGAGGGAGGGATGCTGATGCACAAGTGACTGCTGGGCAGCATGGGAGTCATTAAAGTTCTGTGGAAGTTTTATCAGGAAAGAATGTACAACCTATTTACTGTCATCTGAAGCCAACTAACTGGGCTTTTTTTTTTTGGCTTTTTTTTTTTTATTCTAGAGCATCACTCATTGCAGTTTTATACTCCTTCCAACACTCAGAACTTCTGATGAAAACTGCCTATTAAAAGAAATTCTTGCTACAATAAGATTAGTAGGACTTGTGCCTCAGGCTCTCAGGTACCCTAAGGTAACCTGGACAACTTTAAACATGACTTTGCTATACCAAGGTGGGAAAGACAAAGATGGTGAAACAGGCCCATTCAATCACATAGAGGCAATGTGATCTGCTGCTCTGTACTGTAAGCAGTGTGTATTCCACATGCCAGGTTCATATCTGACAGCCCCATCACACATGCCTACTGCTTCATGAAAGCCCAGCTGAATGCAAGAGGGCTCACCGGAGCCCGCAGTATCACAGGTACCTCCTGTAGACTCGCTCTTACTCTAAGCCCTCAATCCTCACAAAACAGAGGTCTGCAGATTAACTACAGGTGACAATAACTGCTAAGGCAGCAGAGAGGGAGAGGAGTTGGGAAGAGAGATGAATCTGAAGAACAGCAAAGCTGCTGGCAGACTCCAGCCTGCGCAGCCACCAGAGAAGAGAGCCCTACCTGCCTTGACAGCTACATGCACACAGCACACTCATTTCCACCCCATTATTTTTGTTTTCTTGCCAAACATTGCCAGCTCTCCTGTGGTTTTATCACAAGTTTTTCCATCTTTGGTGTTCTGCTTAAAACCCCAGCTCCCAAAGATGCCTAATTAGATTAGAAATTTCAGTAAGTTTCTATACTTTGTGCTTGCAGAGTAAACTTAAATAACATGACTTGGGGCACCTGAAAAAAAGGAATTTAAAGAAGAGCAACTTGAAAGAACGCAATTTCTACTATTTTTAACTCCACAAATTTCAGCCTAATCTCATTATCCTAAAGCAGGCCTGGATAAACTTCTGAATAACTGAGCAAACAACACTGTTCATAGCTTTACTCTGCAAGTGTATTTTTTAAGAAAAAGGTGTTTTGTGAGCAGCAAAACACACCACACCAGTTGTCATCCCTACCACAGCCACTAGAGCTCCAGCTTACATCTTCCTTTCACAGGACCCGCAGTCCCTCCCATTGTTCTCAGCTCACCTGATGAGGATATTCAGCAGGCACAAAGCAGTGATCCAGAGCCAGGCACACACTCACCTACCAGCTAGCCTGTCCTCGTGTAGCATCTTGTAAGATAAATCACCTTCTTCCCCATAGGGGCACTCCGTCCTCTCTCCAGATACCAATTTTCACACAACTAGTAAGAGCTCATGGCATGTCTGGAACCTGTGCCTTCCTGCTGGTTTTGGCCAATACTGACAATTATGTCAAACTTTCAATGTCCAAGGCCCAGGCACTGACAGCCTGCTCAGTTCACGATCACTTGTTCCATTTATTAAAAAAAAAAAAAACAACCCACAACTAGAAAATGAGCATTCACTGGTGCAGGCAAAGCTTTACTTCAAGCCCTTTATCAGCATTGCCTGTCACCAGGAGTGTTACTGAGACACAATAAATACACAAGGATACATATGATTTTCTGTCACTGTGACAAGCATGTCACTGAAAGCAACAACCAGGAGACAAGCCCTAGCTAATGAGCTTTTAAAGCAAAGCTGTTCTGTGATCAGCTGAATGTTATTAAATCCTCCTTTGGCTTTGAAAAATAAACACTGTACCACACAAACAGCGTGACAGAAAAAGATAACATCAAAACTATGTCTGGGTTGTTGGGAAGGAGAAAGGGAAATGGGAAAGCAAAGGGGGGAAAACACAGAGGAAGGGCTAACAACGATGATAATTTAAAATTATGAAGTGAAGAGTGTTATTCTAATGCAATATTTCTCATGTCAGGGACCTCTGTGTTGCAGTTTCTTGAAGTTACGTCTGGCCTATATCAAAAAAACCTTTTCAACTCTCAAATTTTAAGCCTCAACTTTGATATGTGAGCTGTACCAGGCCACCTCCGCACAGCAAAATTGCCAACACTTCCAGACAGGCAATTACTGTCAGGGCTCAGCCAAGGCAAGGCGCTGCATCTGCACAGTTCTAACTCAATCTCCCACTGGGTTGTGCCTTCTAGACCCATTTTTTCCTCACCTCCTACTAGTCTTCACTAGCCATCTCCCCTTGTCTCCAAAGCCAAAGTGAGAGAAGCAGCCAAGCAAAGTGACCACTGTCAACGGGTGCCTCACCCACAGCCCTCCCCTTGCAGACTCGTCTCTTAAATCCGAGGAACAAGAGCCATGGCCTTTAAAGAGAAGCAGAAATGCTCTGTTGCATTTCAAGGAGAAACTCAACTCCTCCCTTTTTCTGCCAGTGGAAAATGAAAGGAGACGACGTACCATGAAAGCTCTTTTAAATCAGGAAACAGGAGCTACAGGAGGGGTTGCTGAAATACCCTATAAATAGAGTAGGGCCGTGAATGACATTGTCCAACCTACAGCATTGCTCTGGCACAAAACCGATGACTGTTAAGAGGAAGAAAGCTGTTTAAGAAAGAACGTGGAGGTGAGCTGACAGACTGGCACAAGCACTTCAGGCTACCCAGTTTTGAGATCTTTCCCCAGTTTTCTCTCTAAAACAATCCAGACAGCCTGCTTTGCAATCTACCGTTTGTGATGTTTTGAACATCACAACAACTGTTCTGCTGTGCTTGAATTGGAAACACAGACTTGATACCTCTGCAGTTTTGGCCTCTGGTTCCAATGAGAAGGAAAGAATCTTTAAAAATAGATTAAAATCAGCAACTTACAGGGCCAGATAGTGAAAGTGTCCAGCGTTCCATATGATAATGCACATACAATACACCAAAGGGCCTACAAACTGTACTCAAAATTAGTGAAACACTCCTGAAAATACTGAATCTATTGTCAAGCAGGCTTCAATAGTCAATAGTTTCAAACACAAAGAGAGAGCTCTGATGTTTGTGCAAATTCTCAACATTTAGTAATACTTAAGCTATTATCAGCAAGGTACAGTCTCTCCACTCTCGGTAAGTATCTACTTTTTGATTGTGTGAAACAGCAGGACCTCACACATCTCTCAGCTCATGCACAGGCTAGACAAACTCAAGTCTTGTTCTCCAGTAGTTTCTGCTGGGGAGCACAGAGTGGGCTTGCTTTACGAGTGGGCTTAACTGTAAAAGTAACGTTTCCCGTCATTGCTGAAACTCTTGTACCAAAACGGGAAACGTTACAGAAGACTATAAAGCAACTCTACCTAGTTCAACATACGGCAATACATTGATTGACTAAAAGATGAGACTAGCTCACCCGAGGGCTGCCTTTGGTACACCACCTTTCCTTATAATTACTCATGAGGGGCTGACCTTGACCATGCGAAACTGCCTCCCACTCTGTGGGCAAACTTGGACGATGGCAATTAGTAGAGGTGCTGGAGAAGATGATGACATTGCACAGCTTTCCAAAATATAAATACATTTCTGCAGAACTTGGAACAAACCAGGTAATTTTATAAACACTTATTTTTGAAGCACTCTCCTCCAATCTAAAAAACAGTTACTATCAAATTCTCTGTAATATAAGAAAGTGTATAAACATTTATAAATCCAGTGTCATCCTCTTACAGGGAGGAAGGGGAGGTAGCAAAAACAAAAAACCCTACTAAACCTACACCAGAATTTTTTATACAATTCCGGGGGGGTGGGGGGGAGACACAAAAATGAAACATGAGAGAGACCGAATATAAACATTCCTTACAGTCACTGCTCAGCTATCTAGATTATAGAACATAAACAGAACAATCAGTAAAAAAACCAAAGTTGAAGACAGCCCCAAATCAGGGACTTATATTCTTCATGATGAAGTGATGAACCAAACGCAGATGCAGGTAAATCAGCTAACTAGAGTACATTATGGAAGTCACTTCTCCAGCCCCTATATGTAGGGGATTTCATGAACTGGCACATACACCATTCCTATCACGACCAACTGTGCTCACTGCTGCTTACAGTTTTCCTTGTGTCTGCAAAAATATCTTTCCTGACCTTTCAAAAACAAAACATTACATTATTTCAAGAGCCTACCCTTCCAGATGCTTTATGTTACCCATCTGCTTTCTCCCTTCTTCACTACCGCCTCGTCTCATCCTGCCTCTGTTGT